GTTGAATTTGACCCAGCTACCCCTCTGCTGGGCATCTTTCCAAAAGAATTAAAAAAGTCATACCACAGTGATATATTTGCACCCATGTTTATAGCAGCAAAGTTTGTAATAGCTAAAACTTGGAAACAGCCTAATTGCCCATCAGTTGGAGACTGGATAAAGAATATGTGGTTTTTCTATAAAATGAGTACTACTACTCATCCATAAAGAATGAGAAACTACAGTCATTCATAGGAAAATGGATGTATATTAAGGCCATACTCATAAGTAAAATATATAAGATGCACATGTGCAAATACTGAATAGCTAATCTGGTGTGAAAAACTAAAAATGAAAATAACCTCCAAATTATATAATTGATAATATGAAAAAGGAAGGAAAGGGCTAACATGTAGGGGAAGTAGGAAGGATGGGGAAAGGAAATAAGGGAAAAGAAAAAATTTGAGAAAATTTAAAAAAGAAAAAAGATTTGTAAATAGGGAATGTGGAGGGGGTTAAGGGTTGTAGGGGTATGGGGAAAAATGAGAACCAAAATATGTCATGTATATTTACAAGATCCTAATGATAAATGTAACTGTACTATATACTTAAAAAGTACCAATGAACTCAATGAGAGAAAAAAATAATTTAATAGTTAGCAACAGAGAAGGTTTCCATAGTGAATGACATGATGAAGAATTCTAGAGCAGACAGAAAAAATTTAAAAAATAGAAAATCTGAGGAACATAATGAAATCTCAGCACAGGAAACAAATGGAATCCATAAAACCAATTAAAATGGATACCCAGGAGATTAATAAATTGAAACACTGAACTGGCTGGAAGAGAGGTTAGGTAGAACTTTTGAAGAAATTGGTTTAGGAAAATATTTTATGAACAAAACCTCAGCTGCCTATGAACTAGCACAAAAAATAAACAAATGGGATCTCTTGGTATTAAACAGCTTCTACACAATAAGAGAGGAAACCAGTACTGTGAAGAGACAACACACAATGTGGGAAAAAATTTTCACCAGCTCTTCCTCAGGCAAAGGTCTACTATCTAGAATATATAAATAGCTTTTAAAAGTCAGACCTCCCAAATTAAACACTAAATCCAAAAATGGACATCTGAAATGAACAGACATTTCTCAGACAAAGTAAAAATACCAAATAAATATATAAAAAAATGTTCACCATCACTGGTCATTCAGAGGATGCAAATGAAAACAACACTGCGATTTCACTTCACCCCTGAAAAAATGGCTATTCTCATTAATTCGACAAATGCTGGTGGGTCTCTGGGAAAAGAGGAACTCTGTTCCAATGCTGATGGGAGTGTAGACTGGTGCAACCACTGTGGAAATCAGTATGGAGATACCTCAAAGAAATAGGATTGGAGGCCCCATATGGCCCAGCAATCCACCTGCTGGGTATCTTTTCCCC